ATATAGTTAATAGTTTAAAAGGTAAAGAGCTACTTTAGCTAATATAATAGAAATAAACTTCTTAAATTTCTTAGGTATTATATTTAAAGCTACTTATATTATTAATTTTATTATTATAACGCGATTTTTTATTTACGTAAATCTTAGTAAATTTAAGCTTACGTAATTCTTTCTATAAAACTTTAAGGTAAACTTTATTTTATTTAAGTTATTATCTTAAAGGTTTATTAGCTAGTATTACTTTATCTATTAGTAGGGAAGAATAATATTATAGTTTAACCTTATAGCTTTTAACTTAAAGTTTACACTTATAAAGTAGTCTTCTTAATACCTTAAAATAATAGGGCTTATATAATAGTAGCTATTAGAGTTATTAAGCTTATTATTAAATTTATATAAGGTTTTCTTTTAATATTACTTATAGATTAAAATCCCTAATTTTCAAGCTAATATTAGGGATATAATAGGTAAGAAGCTATTAATATTAAGAAGAACTTTAATTAGCGTTTCTTTCTTTTACTTAATTAAAGTTATAAAAATTATTAATTATAGCTTAATTTAAAGTTTATTAGGTTAAAGCTTCTTTAAATATAAAGCTACGTTAGGTTTATTTTAAGATAAAGACCTTTTTTTATAAGATAACTTATAGGGGTCTTTTAAAAATTTAAATTAAAGTTAAAGAGTAATATATAATTATATTCTATTAAATCTTTTAAGATTATATTAATCTTAGGTTATTTTACTAATAGTAGCTTTAATTTCTCTTTATTAGATTTCCGTTTATTATTACTAGATTTCGTAATATTAATAATCTTAAAAGGGGCTAATAGTAAGATATTACCTTCTTTATCTTTACTAGTATAATATTAGGTAAAAGAGTAGTTATTTTATTTATAATACTAATAATAATTATTAGCCTTTTTTCTTTTCTTAATAAGAGTCTTATTAATCTCTTTAAAAGCTTTTTAAAAGAACTTTTATCTCTTTTCTTTATTAGGCTTATTATTCTTAGTTTAATTCTTTAAGAATTTCTTTAATAAGCTTAAAGGTTTTTATAAGCTATTAATTTTAAATTGGCTTAATTTTAAGGGCTTTTACGTTAAATTAAGCGTATCTTTTCCCGTAAATTTAATTAAATTAAGGTTTATTAATATATTTTTATAGATTTAGCTTACTTTAATAATAGCGTTAAAGTATTCTTTATTTAAGAGTAATATATTACCTTTTTTTAAGTAAATTAACTTAATTATCTTATCTAGTAATATTTTAATAATATACGTTTAAAAAGTAAGGTTAATTTAATGAACTATTTTATTTAAGTCTATTTTATTTATTAGAAACTATAAGATATCTTTAAAGTACTTAATCTTTAAAAGCTTTTTAAGGTTATTAATTGCTTTTAAAACGTCTTTAAATCTCTTTTAAATAACGGTAATATACGCGTTTTAATAGTTTATTACTTAAAGACTTTATAATTATTAAGCTCTTTATTAATATTAAATCTTTACTTTATTAGCTAATAATAATTCTATTTAATTAATTTTAAGTTAATTAAAGAGTAAGTTACGCGTATAAAAGTTAATATATATAATAATATTAGTTTATTAAAAGTAAAACTTTATAAGAAATCTTTTATTAAAGAGAGTTAACTTAAAGATCTTTAATAAGTTATCTTTTTTTATAATATAAGTTTAATTAATAAAATAAGCTAAAGAGTTTACTTATTTAAGTTAATTAAAGAGTTTTAAGCTTAAGTTTAAAGGCTTTAAGAGACTTAAAGAGAGTCTATTAGGCCTTTTATTTTAATAATTATCTTTATTATTAAATAAGTTACTTACATAATTAAGGTTTAAAGAGACCCTATAAATTAAAGGTTTTAAGAAATAAGAGTAACGCTAATTATCCTACGAATTTCTTATATATATTATATAAAGTATATCTTTATTATAATAAGGTAAAGTAAAGATACTTCTTTTAATACTTTATAAAATAATAATAATAAGCTATTAAGTTAAGTAGTTTAAGATAACTTTTTACTTAAATTTACCTAATATTCTTTTAATATTAATAAATTAACCTATTTTAAACTTCTTAAGAGTATTTTTAATAATAAATTTAATTAAAATATAAATATCTTAAAGTTATACTTAAGTATTAATATTAAGGTTTTAAGAGCTAATATATTATTAAGATAAGAGATTAATAATACTTAGTAATTTAACCGTATATATTACTAGTAAATTAGTAGTATTCCTTATAGCATATTAAAACTAAGTAAATTTATCTCTTCCCGCTATAATACCTTACCTTATAAGGGTAATAACCTCTTAATATCTACCGTAAACCTCTTAGTAATAGCGTTAAATAATTAAGAGATTATAATAGTTAAAAGCTTTAACGTATTAGGCTTATAAGCGTAAAGCTTTATAAGCTTAGGTTAATTAAACGTTTAAGCTAATAATATTATTATACGCTACTATAAATTAATTAATTAATTTAGTATTTTAAGTTAAGTTAAAGGCTTTTCTTATAATTACCTTAAAGTTAAAAGGGTTATAAATAACTATTTAACTTAGGTTAATAAATACTATAACTTTAAGATAAAGCTTAGCTTAAGGTTTTAAAGTAAAATATTTTTCTTTATTTTAAGAGAAGAATAATATAAGTAAGTTAAGTACCTTTAATAATAATAGTTAAGTAAATTTAAAAGGTATAAAGTAATAATCTCTTAACTTAAAGTTATAATTCTTATTATTATTATTAAAAGTATAATAGGTATTTTAATTAATAATAATATTAATTAAAAAGAAAGTAAAGAAGTAATTTAAAAAGTAATAAATACTTACGCTTTTATAAGATAAACTATTATAAACTTCTTAAAAAGTATAAGATAATTAGGTAAAGGCTTTTATAATATTAAAGTACTTTAAAAATAAAAATAATAATAACTCTTTTAATAATAATTTTTATAAGGCTTTCTTTAAGGCTTTACTTATAAGAGAGAAACTAATAATAAAAGGTTAAAAGATATTATAAAGTAAGTTAAGTAATTATAAATTAAAGGCTTATCTTTAAGAGTATAAGATTATTTATAATAAGAGCTTAATAAAGAGCTTAAAGAAAATTAATTTAATTTAATAATAATCTTATAAAATATTAAAGGTTTTTAATTTTCTTTAAGCTAAAAAGTAAGAGAAGATTATCTTATATATATAAAAGAAACGGCTTATACCTAGTGTACCTTATAGTTCTCGTAATCTCTTTGTGTAATAAAGGGCTTCTAATCCTTACTTAACCTAATTCGTGTGATAACCCTAAAGGACGAGAAGCAGAAAAGACTACACTAAGGCAAGCCATGTGCAAAGTGAGTAAGTTCGGTGCCTTTAACTACCTGCTACCATCTTGGGACGAATCATCATATGACCATTGTAGAAGGCCCTGCACCACATTGTCGAGAGTGATACGTTATAGTGTGTTGAAAATAGGAGAAACGCGGCATAGCCGCAATCGGATCTAGGATGCAGAATTCTCCACAAGGCAAACGTAAAGCTCAACCAAAGGACCTTGGCAGGGATCAACTAACCTGCAAATTCATGCATATTCGTTTAGGCAACTTGAGTAGCATATTGACTTCATGCTTGCATCAATTAGCGACGCCATGCATATCTAATCTGTGGAACCAGAGGGCAACAGCGGCCGTACCACTACCAGGACAATCCCGTTGTATAAATTTGTAGATATCATTACATAACTCTCGCACTGACTAAATATCCCCTACCTTCGTCGGCGTAATTCATTTCATGGTATGACTCGAGCTGAATTACTCCGGTTATGCCTGAACTTCTTTAAACCAGTTGGCAAATTGCTCCCGGACACAATCTAGATAATGTAGAGTGTACTATACCAGTAAATGTGCGGCCGTTGTGGCGCTCAGCAACGCCCTGAGTTAGTGATATTTGAGAGCTAATGCAGGCCTGGACAAATTAGTTGCAAGCTGAACATATTGTCCAACTACGTTTTAACAGCAAAAGCAACTATGATTGTGGCAGCCAATGCCACCAGACTTTTTCGGGTCACCGCTGTATGCCAGAAGACCTCGTTACAGGCATAAAACCCACTCGCAAGCTGGCATGACTTCGGATGGGATCAAAGGTTGACGGACTGGCGGGAGTACTCCGTACTGATCGACCAAGCGGCCGTCTCTGCGGTGCAGCACCCTGATAAGGCGACGTTGCATTAGACCAGACCCTCTCCACAAGCATGCAGTAAAGGGTAGGATTCAAATACAACTCAACAGGAATGAAATCAGTTGTGATTTGCCACTTGATGTGTCAGTGGTTATTGGGTTTGGCCACTGAGACATGGGGCAAAAAGATCTGGCAATAGCGGCCTGGGCCCTTGGCCGAATATCCCCGCCAGCAAGTTTATAAGTGTGCCCTTTTAGCTCTCTCTCCGTGGCCTCTGAGATGGTGTAATGTGGTTTCATGCTAGAATTCCTCGAAAAGACATCCACATTGGACAGTTTGCTCATCTAGTACTCATTCCTTTTCTGGGAAGTGTGTCAAACGCAATTACTTGGATACTCGGTCATCATGGGCGTTGATTTGGACTACCTTACCCCGCGGGGTCTCTTGGTTAACAAGAATTTTGTTTGCCAGGGGCCTTCATTTAGCAGCCTCATTCTAGCCATCAACAAGATGCTTGACGTGCCACACAGCAAGGAGACGATGGCCCAGGAGTTTAACTTCTCCAGTGACGCATTTGACGTGGTAGGCAGACTCAAAACCTTTGGCCTAAAGGAAATATCAACTAATAGGGAGTAGCTTTTAGATGTACTTGAAGACTGTCTGAAGTACATGACAGAGGTACGGCTCTTTGATTCGGAGTCTCACGATTAGTCGCAAATGACTTACCTTTACTTGCAGATTCATTTCAACGCAGGAAAGCTTAAGGTACTTTACAGATCGATTGTCTAATTCCTGGGCCCAAATCGTGCTGATATTTTGAAATCTAGACAGCATATCGCGATGTCGGAGACGTCTGCGACAGAATCCTTGTCCTTTCGGCCTCAGCTCCCAGAGATTATGGTTGGACCTCCTGCCCAGAATAGTTTCTCAAAGAAAGCAGCCGTCCATTCTTTTCATGCTCAGCTAACGCTATTTTTCGCGCCCTAGATAAACTGTTTGATGATCTGGCACGGCTGTACAAGGATGAATCTGACAACGAGGCACTGCGCAAATCTGTCAAAGAGCAGATTGATGCACGCTTGGCTGGCATTCACAATGTTTCCACCAAGGCTACGGCTACAAGAGCAGTCTTGGCCAATTCCACAGACGCCGTCAAATTAGCACAGGACCAGCTGAAGCAAGTTAGCGCCCAGCTAAACACCGAAGCCATCTATCGTCGACTCCTAGAGGCCTTTATGCCTGATATGGTGAAAATTGCCATGAATAACTTTGCAATAAACATGATGAGAGTATGTTACTCCTTGTTTCGAGAATTCGCCCATCTCGGGAATTGTCTGACAAATGAGGACTGTGTAGGCATGGATTGGGCAAATCCAATTGACTGACGGGACTGCGGCCTCGTTGAATGAGCTGCAGAGAGCTGTTGGTAAGCTATCTTTCCCGAAAATTAGCAACGGCGTCAGTTTAATAACGTGCTTAGGTGCTGTTGCGGAGATAGACATGGATCTTGTCTCATTGCGCAAGTACGTGGAGGAAAACACCACACCCGGGCCAGGCCCTATTTTGGATCTGCAGAAGGGCAACATACTTGAGAAGTGGGAAGACTTGGACAAGGAAGGTGAGTACAGGCGCATTGCTTTCGAAGTTCGATGTGGAGAGTGGCTGACTTCGTTGCGTTCCCCCATTTGCAGTGAGGAAGTTCAAATCAAACTTTATTGATACTGTAAGAGCATGAAAGGCATTAATTCGGAATGAATGATCTTGAATATGATGGGAATTGATGGTCAATGGGCAGCCCGGATCCCTGATCGTTACTGAGAGTACTTTTTTTTCCGATTAGGCGCTTGAGTCGGTTGACTAGGAGCTCTGCCAAGCACGACTATCTAGACAGTTCAGCAAAATGAGATACTCTTTAACTTTCTACGCGAGATGATGGCGCAAAACTACAGGAGAGCTAGATAATCGTTTCGATTCTGCTTCACTTTCAAAAAGTTGCTCCTATCTTGAATGAGCGACTCGGGCTTGACAAACACAATCGCTATCCAGTGGGAAATGCATATTGAACTCGTTCAGCGAGATATGGAAGGGACGAGGGGCATTGATTTGTCCAATCAATTTTATGAAGTAAACATTCGTCGACAACTTCATCTGAATAATTTAAACAATCTCAAAATGATGGCGATGTACTCTGCATCTAGTTAATTCTTCCTAGAGTCCTTCACCCTAGGTCTGCGGCGCTTCGTATCAAAACGAACATGCCCCGTAAACTGCAAATCGATCCCCCTTAAGCCATCCAAAAGAATGTCCTCTGGGTTCAACAGCTCAATCTTCCACTGGGTAAATGGAGTGGGCTCGGCATGGTCTTTTGTTTCAAAGGCGGGATAGACGCGAGTTTTTCCTCTAATCCCATTCTCGTCCAGCTCGTACGAGCACCTTCGAGATTGAGGAAGACTTGCAAAACGGAATACTTTATCTTTTTCAATGTCTGCGTAGATTCCAGAAGTGGTGATTCGCAAGTTCACCACTGCCACTCCACCCTTTAGAGCGTTTGGATTGGGGAGCACTCCAAGTAGGGTAGGATTAAGCCCATCTAGACGGTAGTGGGAGCCTTCGTCAAAATCACTTGCAAGCCCCTTTTCTGGAGCGAGTGTGAAGCTACCAATGTGGTTCTTCCCCTTGATACCATCCTTCATTGATTGCCCACATCCAGCAGGGAGCTGATCTTCGTCAGCCCTCTGCAATGTAGAAAAGGGTTAGGGCCAGGGTATGTAAACTTACATCCTCAGAGTCGATATCATAGTCGAAAGCTAGATTAAAGACTGCTTAGCTTATACCTAAAATATGATAGTCTTCATTTTTACCTACGTTGGAAGTCGCTAGAATATCGTGAATCAGCATTTACCATCTCTTGTATGATGATGGAGAGGTCTTGCTGGTACTCGACGAGAGGTTTTCGGGAGTCAAGACTAATGGAGCTTGCAGTAAGGGCCCAGTAACGATAAGCCCATGCCATGTTCCGAAGGGATATAACAACAGTGGTTCTTAGGGCCATGGCGCGATCGTAGAGCATGGACTCGGCAAGAGCGTAGATGGCCTCTTGTTCCTCATACTCGTCCCGTAGCCTTTGAAGGCCGGAAATCTGTTGTTCAGACACAATGACTTCCATCTGGGCCTGGACATACTCGTAGCCTGCTTTAACGCTTTCAGCATGGGCCTGAGTCAGCTGCTTCCCGTTGATGGCATGCTTTCGCAGTGCCAGTCTGTAGTCGCTGGCATAGTCAACACCCTCACTCACAGCAAATTCCATCTGCTCGTCTGACTCGAGAATCCATTTATCCCACGCAGCCATTGTCACGATGGCCGCAGCATTCGCATCACCCTGGCTGGTGCCAGTGATGGTGTCCAGAGATGGGATCTCCACGGTAGGATCGATCTCGAACTTGCCTACTGCATCCACCACGGACTCTATGATGGGATCCAATGCCAAAAGCGCCTCGACACACTCGGCCAACTTCTTAAAGGTATCGGATCTCAAGACTTTGCCAATTTGGCCGACGAGACCCTCTGCTACCTTGACCGCCTCGACGGCCTTCCCTACAGCGTCTGCGGCGCCACCGCCGCCTCCGGGGTTGCCCATACAAAGCGTTGCAATATTCAATGCAAAGGCTGCAAAAAGAGATTAGTCTAATCTTACAAAGATTAAGCTGTTATTGGAAGTGGATATGTCGGCTTACAAGCGGCTGCCATGAGGATTTGAAACACGGCTTTCAACTCCTGTTCATCCTTCCACTTCTGGAGCCCATTCTCGAAACGAATTCTGAGAATTTCTAAGGCAAAGTCGTCTTCTTTAAACTGCGCCTCGCAGCTCACGGCAGTCTGACGAGCCGATTCGTACTTATCCAGCGCCATGTTGCGAAGGTTGACGCGCATGGAATTCTCATTTCTAGCCTGTGCGAGCATGGTATCCCAAGCCTGTTTGTGGACTTCCAAAGACTCCTTCTTATCCTGGAATCGCTCGAACTGGGCCTCGAAAGCGGTAGCAGCATTAAGTGCCTGTTGTGTAGACTCTTTATATCTATCAAGGACTAAAACAGGAGCATAGCTCATGTCCGGTCCGGCCATGGCTTGTCCGGCGAGTTGTTGGCCTACTGCCACCGCCTGCGTGTTGAGCAGATTTAAGTACTCTTGATTAGTCGTCATCGTCGCAACATAGGAGCTCAACGAGACTGCAACGGACATGTTCTTCCAGAACTGAACAAGAGCAATACGCAGTTGCGTGTTCAGGCTTGCTTTCAGGTCATCGCTTGAGGTCGACGGGTATTTCTTCTCGTAGTCGTGCTCCATTCCGCCCGAGGAGAACCCAATGGTAACGCCAATATACTCGGACTCGGGCCCAAGATCAAGTTCCAAATTGTCGGAGCCATTGAGTATCGTGACCGGCTGATCCAGAATGGCGGCGTAGATGGATATTGCGCCCGAGGCATCCGACGGTATTACTATGGTCACCGGCGCATCCGCCGTCAAAACCCTTGCAGTGATCTGTATGGTGCCATTCTTGTGAGGTGAAACGACATTCTCATGCTTCGTAAGAGCAAAAATATCTGTAAAAACATTCAGCCTGAGCATAGAGGGCAGAAGTGCCGTGGAGTCAAGGTAAACTCCGCGGAGCATCGCGGTTTTCTTGTGATCCCATGTCAGCACAGAATATGAGACATCTCAAAAAATGTGCTACTTGCCGCAATTTTGTTCACATTTTCTGCTTCTCGTAATGGAATACTAGTAACATCCTTTGAGAAAGCATAGGCTTTCCATTCCTCTGGGGTGCTGGGCTGGGGCTTAGGGTCGGACATGGCAGCAGGCTCGTGAAGTCTTGGGTGTTGCTGTATCCGATTTCCCCTCTGTTTTTTTCTCTATCCACTAAGTTCTAAAGTCCTGTTACTTCAGACACTGTTTCTTATAGACAAATCATTGCCAAGTTGATTGACAGACCGGGCTAAAGGCAATCTGCAATCTGCGATCGCGTCATATTAGCCTTCAATGGCCCGTTTCGGTCTACCATCTGATCGAGCATGTGAATACGCAAGACGGAATATGGCCGGTAAAGCTGTATTCAAGTCCGATAGCGGCTCATCTTCTTAGCAGTGTGGGCTGGCTAAGTTGATCCATCATTTACCCCTTCGTTTTCGGTACTCCATGTCGCTATAGTATGGACTGCGGGCTATCATGGCTTGTTGTTATTGCCAAGCAGTGGTCGGGCAACGTGGCAGGACCCCGATGGTGGACATCCCCCCCCCAGAACTCACCGGAACGGCCACTTACATATTTCAGTTCAGGATTTACTTGCGTGGCTTGCCTAAGGTTACTTCTGTTCCGTCACTAAATATGACCATCTGTACGTGGTGGTACCATTAGGAGTGTAAATACTCCGTAAATGTGTCAAGAATGCAGCCGTTGTGGGAAAAAGCAAGATTTTCGTGCCGCAGAAGTCACCAGACTCGGCAAGGATGCCATGCTGCCGCATCTGCATTCTCAGCTCATGCACGTTCACCGACACAAATGATGAGACAGAAGATTATGCATGCTCTCATGCGTGTTTCGGAGAAAGAGGTAGGTTACAATATGCTGATAAAGCATGCAGGCATGCTACTGCTACCATTAGTACGCCTGAGGGCGAGACCGAGATTTCGACAGAGTGTACGAGGAGTCAATGTCATCGGCACCTCCGTGAGACAGCGAACACTTTTGCATCCTAGCAAATATATATATATATAGAGAGAGAGAGAGAGGAAGAGAGCTGGAACCTACGATGTAAATCTCGTTGTAGTAGATACTGTGATAATATTTGCGACCTGGCCGTGTGTTCAATCACTGACCAGCATCGTATTTACTCTCCAGATTACTCCTTTTCCTGAAAATGACTGGCTTCGACCCCAGGCAGCCAATTACGGATCCGTCCGTATTTTCCCCCAGGGGAATGTACGTGGACAACCGCAGTGGCAAGAAGGGGGCCCAAGACGACGACGACGACGACGACGACAAAGCCTTCGTTTTCGATGCTTCCGATATGAAAGCGCTGAACCGATTTCTGGGCACGGGAAGGAAACTCCAAACCACTCGTTCAGAGTATCTCAGATGGTTAGGAATCTCGGACACGCCGGGTGAAATCAGTGCTGCCCTCGGAAAAGAACTGGAATCTCTTCTTAAAACTTATACTTCGGTGTGTATTCTAATCCGTTCAGCCACACCATCCGACCTGTCTTCTTCAATCACTGGTAAAGGCGGCACTTGACACTCTAACCAACAAAACAGATTAAAAATGACTGCACGCAATTCAAGGATGTAACATGGAACAGAATTGTTGATATTGCCGGGGATATCAAGTCCTACGCCACCATGTCGGGCGGAAAAGAAAGTACCTCGTACTATGTGCTCATGTTGAAGTTCATTGGGGACTACCACGAAGAAAACAAGAAGCCAAACCCAGACAAGGATAAACTCGCAGAATTGAAGGAAAGCATCCAGTTCACCGTCGACGCCGAGCTTAGAAAGCTAGGCGAGTTGCAGGCTGGTACGCAGGAAGCGCTTACAGGACTCGGAGCTTTTGAAAGAGTGTGCGAGCAACACGGCCTCGCTGTGGAAACTAATGCAAACTCTCTTGAGGCGCAGTTGAAGAAGGAGGGCAACGACATTGAAAGTATGAAAGCGAAAATCGAGGACGCACGAGCAGAGATCGATGACTTGCAGGGACAAATTGATGGAAGTAAGACATAAAAACACACCTGAATCCCTCCTAGACTACCTTGCTAACTGGGCATTACGCCGTTGAAGAGAACCAAGCAATCAAGGATGCTCCGAAGTACATGTGGGTGTAAGTGGACACAATAGCTCAATGTACGATGAAAAGATGCCAGTGGCTAACCCAGCATCACAAGTTGGCCAATCGGCACTGCAATCGGTACTGGCATTATCGTGGAAGCAAAGAAGGCCATCAAGAGATTGAAAGAAGCCATGGAAAAGGTCAAGAAGGTGCTGGACGACTATGAATCCAAGATGAAGACTGCATCTCGCCTGGAAACAAATCTCAAGTTCATAAGTGTAAGTGTGGCACTTGCCAACCGTCTGCTTACGCCCAAGTCTAATTAATTGCAGCGCCAAGTCAAGGACCTCGGTACAGAAATCGGGCCGGCTATCAAAACATTGCAAAAGCTCCAGGGGGCTTGGAAGAGCATGGAAACGGATCTCACGGCCATCAAGGATTTGATCGAGTTCGATACGGACAATATTCCGCCAATGTTGATCACAAGGCCTCAGTTGCAGGGCATTGTTGACGAATGGAACGAGCTGAAGGATTACGGTACGTGAAAGGCCAAAGATGCGAGAATACATTGACGAGCCACGATGCTAATGACTACATGTTTCCCAGCGAGCAACTATATTGAGAATGCTTATCTTAGCGACGAACCAAAGTCTGTGAGCATTGCGGAGTATATCTCTGAGCTGGAAGATGCACTAATGAAAATTGAGGCGATGGGGAAGGGTCAGTAACAGAAAGGCTTGGTGTATAGCAAGACATTCACTCTCACTAACTTGGCTGCTCCTAAGCCCAGATGATGTATGACTTTGTGTTCCCAGAGGCTGAGATTCGTTAATACTCAAATGCTCACTTATATCTGTTGTAATTCTTTTGGCATTGATGTGATTTCCAGCTTTCCACTTGGCGAATGCATAATATCATATAATAACATCTTTATTATTATAGAATTATAAAGAAAATACACGGCGTTTTTATTAAAGAATATATTTAAGAGAGATAAAAAAAGAGGTAATAATAAAAATAATGATTTTTATTGAAATAGAAATCTTTTATTAAAACTTTGTTTTTCCTTAAAATAAAAATAAATTAATATATTAGCTAGTATGTCTAACGCATCGCAATGCGTGTACTTATAGTATCTTGCGTGGTTAGTTACGGACTTCAACTTACGGTTCCCTGGCCTAGGTTCCGCTAGGTACGGCTAAAATATAGTGTTACTAGACACTCTCTATCTAGCCCGTTTTTTTTTAAAAAATAGGTTAATTAATAAGTTAATTATTAATTTATTTGATTTAATATTAATATTATTAGATTTTAAAGCTTTAAAAGTGTCTCGGAATTTTATGGAAAATTAAGTGGCTAGCTTACTTAGGTCCTAATTCTATAAACCGCGATTAACCGTTAGCTAGCTAAAAACACTATATAACACGTATAGTTATAGCGCTTACCTATTTTTAGTAAGAAATATATATATATTAAGTTATAAATAAAACTTATATTATTTATAACTCTTTATTTATAATATATAACACTAATAAAAACCACGTAAATACCTATAAAAGAAAGTTTTTAGTTAATTTTAAAAGCTAAAAGTAATTTCTAAAAACGTGCTAAATATATTATTATACTATTAATAAGCTAAACCTAGTAAAGTAATACAAGGGAAAACCCCTATTATCGTAATATATCTTCTTCAGCCAGCTGATAATCAGCCGCGGCTTATAGGATTAGGGCCTTAGTTGTCAACGGGTCTGGTATATAAGAAAACTGTGAGGCAGAGGGACGGACATCCGCAAGCCATTTCGCAGTTACCGTGTTTCTGTTATCCCCGACGAGGGCAGGGTGGAGTCCCGTGATATGAAGCACCCAGCAGTGAGCACGTGTCTAGGCTCCTAGCGCGGGTCAAGTAGCCAACTTCGTATAAACTAACCAGTTAACGTTTCCCATTGTTATGGCTAGGGTGTAAAAGGTCCACGGGTACCCGTGTGGGTTGCTTACTCGTAGGCTTTAAGTAGGTAATAGGTAGGAAAAAAGACTTAAATAGATTTATAAGGGAAAATAAGATACTTATAATTATCTATTAAAAATATTAAGTGTTTTTAGGTACTTAAATAAGACTTATATAACTTACTTTATACTTTAAACTTAAGACTTATTATAAATATAATTAAATATTAAAGAG